CCCGAAATTGGGAATTCCAGAGGAGGAGAAGCTATTTGGAAGGAAAGATGATGTGTGAGTACTTCTGACATTTGAGGTTCCTGATTCAGCGAAGCAGAGATGTTGATTTGGCAGTGGAAATATGTGGATCTAGCCCCCAAGGAACAAAGTCTGGAACAAAGGTAGGGATTTGGGGTTCTTCGGGATATGGATTATAATTAAAACTTTGGAGGGGATGCGTTTCCCCAGGGAGGATGCGTAGTGTAAGAAAAGAAATGCTAAGACAGGATCTTGTAACACACCAGTATTTAAGGTAGAGAAAGAAGAATTGCCAAAAGAGACCAAAAAGGAGTGATCAGAGAAGTGGGAGAAAAACCATCTATGCTGCTGGACTGGATGATCTTTAAGGCCTCACTCAGCCCTGACCTTCTGTGGTCCTGCAGAGCTGGGATCTGAGCCAGGCCTCAGAAGCAGAGCTCATGGATAGGCCACGAGAACACAGAAGGGCATTCCAAGTAGTCTTACTGTATCAGCCAAGGTCCCAACAAGAAACAGAGGACACACTCAAACTGAATAATTTGAGGGAACTTTCATCAAGAGGCTATTTACAAAGTTGTAAATGGTTTGAGGAATCCAACAAGGCAGAAATCTGGCACTAGCCACACAGAGACCCTTCACCACCCCCAGGCCTGAAATCAGCGAGGCGGAGGCAAGAGGATGGAGAGGGCTTCCTGGCAGGCGATGTAGCCTCCCTCTCCCCCTGCCCTCCAGTTTCCTGCTAGTGCCTCCTGTTGGCCAAACAGAAGCCAGAGAGCAAGGAAGCCCATGGATGCAGTGTAAATACATCATCTTCCGGGGACACGGAGCAGGGTGGGGAGTGAATGGGGAGGGGAGGAGCAAACGAGCTATCCAGAGCAATTACCTTGGGAAGTAGAAGTTTATAACTAAGACAGCACATTAGTTTCCTACTGCTGCTGTCACGGATTCAGGGGCTTAAAATGACACAGATTTATTATTGCGCAGTTTTGGAGATCAGAAGTCCAAAGCAGGTTCCACTGGGCTAAAATCATGGTGTCAGTAGGACTGCATTCTTTTTGGGAGGCTCTAAGGGAAAGGTCCTTTCCAGGCCTTTTCCAGCTCCTAAAGGCCGCTGCCTGCATCTTCAAAGCCAGCAACTGCTTCACCCTGTCCCTCTGCTTCCGTCTTCTGCCTTCCTCTTCCATCTTTTAAGAACCCTTGTGATTCCATTGGACCCACCCAGATAATCCAAGATAGTCTCCCTAATTTAAGATCCTTGCTTTAATCACTCCTGCTCCCTTTTGCCATTTAAAATAACATATTCCCAGGTTCTGGGAATTCGCATGTGGACCTCTTTAGGGGGCCATTATTCTGCCGACCACAGAGAGCCAATGAACCCTTTTGACGAGACTGGAGAAAAGTAATGAAGCCAGAAAAGTGCAGCTCAAAGCCAAATCATGGGAGTCTGGGATGCTAGACTGTCTGAATTTCATTCTGTAGACAAGAGGGAGCCATTGTAAGTCCTTACCCAGCGAAGTGGCTTGTTAGCAGTGTTAAGAAAGATGATCTGATCGTGGTACTCTGGGTGGCTTAGAGCAAAGAATGGAATCCTTTCAAGATGCAATGAGAGGACTCCATGTCCAAAGGAACAAAGGTCTAAAACAAGAGTGACAGGAAGGGCTGGTGTGAAAAGTGCCGTGTGGTAAGAATCCCCTGGAGGTGCTAACCGACCTGACGTAGGGAGAAGGGGAAGAACCTCATGTGGTCTGAGTTTTGGAAGTGACTGACTGGTAGAAGGATAGTATGATCTAGAAAACCAAGAGAGCCTGTTTCAGGGGAAGATAAGGAGTTGAGGTACAGTTGTAGAATCCTGGAATAGAAATACAGGTAGAATCTTACCAACTCGAAGATACCAGTGATTGTGAAATATACCAATATTTTACGTATTGCTGAGAAAAAAA